TCACACATTTTTGTCCTGGCTCAGGAAGGAGGGCTCCAGAGCAAACTAATTTATGCAGCAGCCAAATCGCTCGCTCACAACTTTAATGCCAGTAGCTCACAAAGGAGAATTTTTGCTCACAAGACTCCACAGCTTAGAGGGAGCATTGGTCATTTCCTGCAGGAGCGCACAGGAGCGGAGCTCCGGCAGTAAAGAGCCCAGGGGGTGGGCACATGCAACAAGCCCCACCCCCTGCTCCCAGCAGCCCTCAGTCAGAGCAAGAAGCAGCCAGGTAAGTTTCAGAGCCCCCCCCCCGGCTCCCCTGTCCAAAACAGTCCAGTGGCACCTTTAAGACCAAGTTTTATTCAGGTACAAGCTCTCCCTCCTCTGCGAGGACAGATCTGCACGTCCCCCTCCCCAATAGCTAGCAATCCAAAACAGTCCAGTGGAGTCTGAGCAGTGGGTGTTGCCTTCTGACACACTTCCAGTGATGTCAGGGGGTGTGGCATATGCAAATAAGTTATGCTAATGAGTTATGCTAATGAGCTCCTGCACCTCTTTTTCTACGAAATGACCCCTGCTCTCTTCCCTCAGAAAGAGCTTCAGTCAGAGTGCACGTGGGCAGCTCTGGGGCATCACTGCTGCTGTTTTGTCTGTTTGCCCAAGTGAGCAAGCAGCAACAGCAGTTGGAGCGACGTTAGGATTGGGGCCTCCTTTGGGACATATGCTGCTGTTCCTTCCTCTGCTGTTTGCCGGGGGGGAAGAAAAGGGGGAGCTACCTACTTCCGTGTGTCCATCAAGTCAGAAAGGAGGGCCCAGTCTCTTTGAGTGGTGGCAACGGCGGAGGGGTTGAACCGCCTGCCCAACCTCAAGAGAAATGGCAGGTGGTGCTGGGGCAGCGCATCTGGGGCAGTAGCAGTGGGACCCTCTTGAGGCCCCAGAGACTGCCAGTGCTGATCCTTGAGGCTGACCTGATCATTGTCCTCAGGGTCACCCAAGCAGTTTCATGGCTGAGTGGGGATTCCAAGACATCCAAGTCCCTCCCATCATCCCTCATGCTTCACTGGCTGTCCACTGGCTAGAACTCAAGAGCATCCAATGAAGCTGATGGGCAGTGGGTTCAGGCTGGACAAAAGGAAATGCTACTTTACACAAAGAGTGCTTAAGATGTGGCATTCGCTGCCAGAGGATGTAGTGATGATGGCCACAGGAATAAATAGCTTTAAAAGGGGATTAGATAGATTCATGGTCTATCAGGGGCTACTCGCCATGGTGGCTGAGGGGATCCTCCACATTCAGAGGCACTAATCCTCTGAATCTCAGAGCCAGGAGGCAACAGCAAGGGAAGGCCTCAGCCCTCTATGCCCCATTGTTGGCCATGTGAGACAGGATGTTGGACTTGATGGACTATTGGTTTGATCCCGTAGGACTCTTCTTATGTTTGTACGGTCTGTTGGCCCTAGTGAACAAACTGCCCCCCCCCGTACCCACTCCATCTTTTATCCCGTTCACAGAGAGAAGGTGCCATTCAAGTGGAGGAGTTCACCATCCCTCTGGATAACCCAGGTAGGGAAAACAGCAGAGCTGAATTCAGTTCCTGACGGTGGGTTGTGTGATATGGTTCAAACTTCCCATATTCTGGGTTTTAAAATTTTAAAAATGGTTCTGTTCCATCCTGTCCCTTATGGTTAAGGCAAATAATGAGCATTTTAAGACTTAGAAGTGAAAATAAAATAAGACTAGTGGGAGGAACTGTACTGTTGAAATATGCCCAGGATTGTCATAATCCAGAGCCGGCTGAGGAGTTCTCTTCATACCTTCTCTGACTGAGCTAATGGACCTGATGTTAAAGGAGAGGTGTTCTATTTCCTCTGCAAGTCAACCTAACCTACCTCACAGGGCTGTTGTGAGGATAAAATGAAGAAAGAGAGAATGATGTGAGTTGCTTTGGGTCCCCACTGGGGAGAAAGGCAAGATATAAATAAAGTAAGTAAATACAATAATTAAATAAAGTGCCCCAGAGGAAGGGGGGATCAGCGCATCCCCACACGTCTTTTGCTCTGATCTAGAGGTTCACAGGTAATGGGTGGCGTTGCCAACTTCCAGGTGAGATCTGAAGATCTCCTTGAATTTCAACTGATCTCCAGACTAGGGAGATCATTTCCCCTGGAGAAAATGGCTGCTTTGGAGGGTGCATTATACCCCACTGAGGTTCCCTCCTCTCCCCAAACCCCATCCTCCACCCTCAAATTTCCAGGAATTCCCTAATCTGGACTTGGCACCCCTAGAGGGTGGCCAGAGGTCCTGCCCATAATACGTTGATGATGGAACAGGTCAGAGACCTCTGGCCACCCTCTAGGGAATTCCAGGAATTCCCTAATCTGGATTTGGCAATCCTAGAGGGTGGCCAGAGGCCTCTGACCTGTTCCATCAACAACGTATTATGGGCAGGCCCCATAGAGAATGGTCAGGAGCGGCAGGAGATAACAGCTTTTTCAAGAACTTCCAGAAGTTTCTGAAGGATTGTGCCCTAGAATACTGGACTTTCCCAGAGTAGGGAATGGTATGTGGTACTCTATGCTAGGGCAGGCCAGGGAAGTGAGAAATCTAAGCTTCCTAAGAAAGGGTTCAGGGCCTGTTGGATTTGAGTCAGGGTTGGCAGTGTCCAGGTGGGGCCTGGGGATCTCCTGGGATTACAACTGATCTCCAGACAAGTAAGATCAATTCCCCTGAAGAAAATGGCACCTTTGGAGGTTGGATTCTTTC